ATCAGGAATAGCAAATGTTAATAATTGGGTTTATAGCCTTGTAGATCATTTCTATGTATATAAATATTTTTCTTTTCCTTAAAATGAGATCATATTTGTTAAATTGTTTTGTAACCTGATTTGCTTAGTGCATAATGTAGCATGAATATTTTCCTATGTCATTAAGGAAAGATAATAATAACAACAAAGATAGAGTTTACTACATGCTAGACAACCCATCCTATCTTCAAAACATGCTGTATGTTGGGTAGTAATATTACCCCCATTTTGTAAATTGAAAAACTGAAGCACAGAGAGGTGAGCTAACTTGCCTGAGGTAACACAGCTAGTAAGTGACAGAGGTACGTTTTGAACCTAGATAGTCTAGCTCTAGAGGCCGTGCTCTGGACCACAGAGCTCTGACCCATGCCGTCATTTTCATGGCTATAGTAGATGGTAATTTATTTAACCCTTCCCTTCTTTCTGGGATGTTAGATTCACTGTTATGCACAAAGCAGCAATGAACACTTTGTTCAAACATTCATCTTTGTACACATGTTCAATTACTGCTTTAGGCTGAATTCCCATGAATAGAATTGCTGAGTCAAAAAGTTTACACATTTTTTAAAGTTTGGATACATATTACTCAACATTTTTAAGCAATTTATTTTCTACGCCTCTTTGACCTTTATAATTCATCGTTCCTTTCGAATAATGTATCACTGTCCATCTGGGTTCAATGATAGTTTTTTCCTTAGAACATGGAGCTGCTTCTGTTCTACTTCCTCCTCCTTCCTTCTGCCTTATACCCATCTCTCTAAAATGTTTAACAAAATAATACCCTTCCCCAAAGCATAATGCCTTTTGTTGTCAGCACTTCCTGTGTCTTATATCTCCTGGACTTTAACTATTAGATGGGGTATGTGTATTAGTGGAATACTGTCCCATCATTTGACTTGATGTCAGTTTTTTAAAAAATTTTTACTTTATATTGGAGTATAGTTGATTTACAGTGTTGTGTTAGTTTCGGGTGTACAGCAAAGTGATTTAGTTATACATATACGTATATCTATTCTTTTCCAGATTCTTCTCCCATATAGTTTATTACAAAGTATTGAGTACAGTTCCCTGTGCTATACAGTAGGTCCTTGTTGTTTATCTATTTTATATACAGTAGTGTGTATATGTTAATCCCAGCCTCCTAATTTATCCCCCCCTGAACTTTCCCCTTTGGTAACGCTAAGTTTGTTTTCTAAGTCTATGAGTATGTTTCTGTTTTGTAAATAAGCTCACTTGTATCATTTTATTAGATTCCACATATAAGTGGTATCATATGACATTTATCATTGCCTGCCTCATACAACTGATTTTCTTTCTTTTCTCTATTTTATTTTTTTCTTCCGAGCGTCACAAGAATTGCAGTAACAAATCTGTTATGTAACTTTTTTCCTGATGTTAGTCTGTAAAGTAGGATGGACTGCCTGGTAAGGATGACAGTGTGTCAGAGGCTGGAGGGCAGAGCTCCCTGCTCTGATCCCACCTCTGCCTCCGCTTGTTTTATGACCTTGAGAAAGCCACTTCATCATTCTCGTTTCATGTTCCTCATTTGCTAAATGAGGAAGGTGAACTAAATGATCTAGAAAACCTATTCCAGGTTTAAAAAATAAATACGGTGTCAGGCTATCCAAGAGTAAAGCAGATTTTTTAAAAATATTGTGTGAAACTGGGACAAATGTGATGTTGGCGGGGCCATGTTGGACGCGGCTAAAGGTTCGTGTCAACATAATAAAAATGTTTTTTGTGCCCTGTCTCTTGGCCAAGGCCTCCTGACAGTCCGCTTTAGTGGCTCGTGAAACAAATCCCTAAAACCAAGGTAGTTATAGTTGTTCCACTGAAACGTGACAAATGGCCTCTCACTTTGAATGCGTTTATGAGAAAGAAAAACCTTCCATGACAACAGCAGTGGAACTTAGTTACAGGCTCCAGGTCTGGGGGCAAGAATGGAGATAGTCACTGGCTGTGGCCAAGCGAGAGAAGACAAGAGCCTGAGCTCACCTGGGAAGAACCGGCACCGGGTGATATAACAGTGACAACAGCACAGTGACAACATTAGTGCGGCTTCATGGAGAACTTGCTATTTCCCAGGCACAGTCCCAAGAACTTTATATATATTATCTCATTTAATTGACACAATAAGCCTAAGAGATCGGTTCTGAGGTCGGTACATTTATTTTTCTGTTTTATAAAGATAAGTTTTGAGAGGCTCTTAAAAGGAGTTGAGTAACATGCTTCTAGTTATTCAGCCAATAGTTGTCAGAGGTAAGATATGAACCTTGAGAGTTTGTTCATTTATTTAACACATGCTGTTTGGATGTCTGTTATGTCAGGCACCCTTCTAAGGGCCGACGAGACCTAAGTGAATGAGGCAAAATTTCTGCTTGTATGGAGTTTGGCTAATAGTGGGATGAGCCCAGTAATAACAAGCCAACGAATCAATAAATAATTTCAGATGGTAATACTAAGTGCTGTGAAGGAGAGTGGGTGGGGCTGGGGGAAGGCTGCTTTACACAGGATTGGCAGGGGTGGCCCACGAGAGGTGACATTTGAGCTGAGCCCTGCACGACAGAGCAAGTCAGCCATGCAAAGCTCTATTGGAGGGGAGTTCTTACATGGAGGGTCCGCAGGAGCAAAGGCCAGGGGCTCAGAAGAACTTGGCTTGTTCTAGGAAGAGAGAGAAGGCCAGAATGGTTGGATGATACATGAAAAGGGGGGAAGTGCCTGCAGTGGAGTGAGGAGGAGGGCAGGGACCAGAGGGCACAGGGCCTTGGAGGCCACAGTATGTAATAAAATGTTTGTATTTTATTCCAAGTGCAGATGGGAGACACTGGAGGATTTTAAGCAAGGGAGCATTGTGATCTCCCGTCTCTGTGGATGGCTTTCTTCACCTCTATGTGACGTTGCCAACAAGAAGCAACCAGAAAGGGATAAGATGTTTATGTGCAGGGAAGCCTAAATGAAAGTTTAAAGGTTAGGAGCCAGCATTTCAAAACCTAGAATCAAAATTCTAGGTTTTTCAGAGAGCAAGGCTGAAATGAACAGTGAGAGGCCATCTAATCCAAACTTCTGACTTTAGGTAAGAAGACCTTAGGAAATCCAAGTTGAGCATCTGATCTATGTTTGAAAACCTGCATTAAGGAGACTATTTATTTTGGGGGGAACTTCCCTGACTGTGTAGAAAGCTGCACTCTAGGTTCTGAATATTCTTGACAACTTCTTGGTCTGGGGGTTGTACTTACCTTATAGAGTAAATCTCATCCAAAATAACAAGACAGCTTTGGGTAGATGACATCTCAGGGATTCATACTTCCATGCAGTCTGGTGTGTGTGTGTGTGTGTGTGTGTGTGTGTGTGTGTGTTTGAAAGATATTTTTGAAGATGTCATCAATATTTTAACATTCAGGACCTGGTTTTTCTGGTGAGATGGTATTTTATGGATGGTTCTAGAATTTTGTTGTAAACTCGGCAACATGATTTATCTTATTTGAATGTTATTATAAACACTCATCTTAACCCATTAAAATCGGTCTGTGTCGCATATAAGATGAAATTAACTGCTTCTTTAGGTTAAAAGCTCACTATTACATTGTCTACTTTGACAAAAGTATTAAGGGCTTCACTTTTATTTAGCAAACTAGGTTTGAATAACAACATAAACCATTATTAATACACTGTATTTGTGTGTGTGCCTATGTGGCTGATTATCCATAGGTAGGTTCCTGACAATGCAAGCCTAAGAATCCAGATGCATTTGTATGAAACTATCTTAGGAGTTGTTTAGTTGCCTCTGTGATAGGATGGGCCCCAGAAAGCAAGTATGAATTGTGAAAGAACTTAATTTAAGCTACATAACTGTAATTGAGTAGGATTTGGGGAAGTTCACCACTCTTGAGTTACTTTTTATTTATAGTAAGTATATTTGTTTCTCAGGAGGGGAAAAATTCTCAAACTATCTTACTGCATGAGATTAGAAAATTTCTGTTTCTTTGCATGAAAGTAGTATGTGACAGTAGCACAAGGACAAGGGCAGCATAAGGATGGGTGTGGGATGCCATAGGCGTGCAGGATGACAAAAACAGAGTTTCCTTATCAAAAAGCACTGAATTAGAGAACTCTTAAGGCTTCCCCAGCTTAACATTCTGTGAGTCGGGGAAAAGGATTTTTCCCTCTGGCTGTTTAAGCTAGAGTATGTTTTACCAAGACCTTAGCTATGAGCTCAGGAGGACTCTAATAACTCCGTCAAAATTATAAGTTCAGCTGTCAGCACTGGGATTGCTGAGTTGACTGAACAAGCAGATTTTCTCCATCGTCTGCTTTCTAGATTGATGAATAACAATTTCGTCCTCTCCATTTTGTTGTAACTCTTTCACTCTGACACTGATTGCTGAGAGGTTTTCTGGAAATTTCCTAAGTCACACACTGGAGTAAATTCAAGGACATAATGCGATTCCAATTGAATCATCAGTGTCTCAGCTGTCAGACCTAGGAGTTCAGTTGGTTGAGTTGTACAACTTCAATAGATTTAATATTACATTCTTGCCACTTTGTGTCTTGCCCTCAAGTCTTAATAAATGGGCTAAAGGTCTGACTGGAATCTGTGAGATAAATTATATGTTTATTATGCCAAGTGAAGTAAATACTGTTTGAAAGGATTACTGGAGGGTACAATCAAGTTAATTGCTTTAAAAATCTTTTTTGATTTACTGGGCTCTATGAAAATGGTTAAGCAATTGATTCTGTCATGGTAAGTGACATGAAGAAAGTGGTGTTGGATCCACAGGGGTTGCCATATACACGTCCCCCCTCATGCCTGGAACTGTCCCGTAAATGAGCTGAGAGGCCCCCGAGACCAGAAGGCAAGTACTGCTGACAGACAGTTGGTCTGTCTGGACAGTTGGTCCAGAGAAGACGCAAGTTGACAGTTTGACGTTCAAGCTGACGGATTTTCTTTCTTTTTATTCTAGATGCTGAAGAATACCAGCCTCCAATATGGAAATCCTACTGTGAGTATCTAAAATCAGAATCTCCTCAGAAGTCTTTAGTCAGCCTGCCTTTTGAACAATTTTTGCTGTTGATTTAGTGCACACAAACTCTCGCATCACAGCACTGCAAACCCAAATCTCTCTTTCTCTGCTAAGGAGAGATGTTGGTCAGAGAGAACTGGAAGAGCCCTGTCCCCTGGCCAGGACCTCGGAGAGCCAGCTGCCTGTGACCCGCTTAGGGAAATGCTTAGGGAAAAAAAGATGGACATTTCTGACTCTCTACCTTTCTTTGGGACTTTCCTTGTCTTCCTTCTTTCCATCCTTCCTTCCTCTTTTTTATTCCCAGTTGGTCAGCAAGGGTAAGTGTGTTGACTTCCATGAATTATGTTCCTGGCTGTTCATCCTAAAGCTGTAATATCAAATGACATTTACCACAGAAAAATCAACAGATAGCAATGGATAATGTTTGGTCACTAAGGGTGACTCCTTAGAAACAGAGATCATTATCTGATCGTCGATCATCAATCCGTCTCCCCTCATGAAGGCAGGCACTTACCATCACCTCAAGCTGGTTTTCTCTTTCCTTAGTATCATCTGCCTGACTAAGTAATTCTCCAGTGACAGAGGGGAGGAGTGTGGTGGGGGGAGCCCACTGTGCTGAGAGCCATGGGAACATGCTCTCATTCAGGCTCTGCTTCTATCATTATTGATGTTGCCCTTGTTTCTACCGCCTGTTGAGACCTGCAGTGTGCCAGCCACCACGCTAGCTCTGTGCCTCAAGTCGCAAATCGCACCACAGCCCTAAGCGACCAGTACCACTCTTATCTCTGTTTCACATACAAAGAAGCCACAGCTCAGAGGGGTTCAGGAACTTGGCAGAGGTTTTATGAGTGGCATTCAGAGTGGAACCCAGAAGCAAGCCAGACTCACAGCCTGCAAATTGCCAATCCTTTTTTCTTTCCATTTAAAATTGTATACATAAGTATATAGATAAGTATATACATACACACAGACACACACACATATGCATATACCTGTGTATGTACGTATTTGTTACAAAAGCAATACAAAGCTACATAAAAGACAAACGTTAGAGAAATACATAAAGCTGAGAGCAAAAATTTCCCATAGGCCGCATACCAGCTCTCACCCCATATTCCACTCCTCTATTCCAATCACTGACCCTGTCAATTTTGGAAAGCATATCTTTCCAAGTGTTTAAAATACACATGCCTAATAGTTTGTTGTTGTTCCCTTTTGTAAAAGTGGGTTTATGCTGTACCTGGTGTCCTTCAGCTTGCTTGTTTCACTTCACAAATACCTTGTTTTTATCTTCCTATGTCAGCATATAGAGAGGCACCTCATTCTTTATTACATGAGTCTGTTCTTCCATCTGTGAAATAAAGGGGTGGTGCTGGGTCTCTAAGGGCCCTTCCAATCTAATGTTATGCATTCTGATCTTCTGTTTTAAAAGGCAATGCTAATGACTAAGTAATTGGATGTTTTTGTTTGTTTGTTTCCTAATGGAGTGTGAAGCGCTCTGACGGTAAATCAACAAAATATCTGTAGTGAGAGGTATTGGGGGTCCCGTGACTCACTGTTCCTTGCACACTGCCTTACACACAGCCTTGCGTACGTTAACTACACAATAAATATTTGTTGAGTGAATGCCACCGCAGAGAGCTTTACTGAAGCGAGAAGATGGCACTGGTTCAAATTCATTTCGGTTTTTGCTAAGAGACCTTGGGCCACCCAGTGTATCTCTTAAAAGCACTTTTATGTCCTAAGGAAACCAGCAAAGGTGTTGTTAATTACATGTTCCAATATCAATTTTACCAGAGTATATTGGTTTTAAGTTTGATTTTTTGATCTAAGCAAGTTGTGTGTGTGCGTGTGCTTAATTTGCTCTAGGATCATAAAACTTTAGATGCAGAAGGGATAGTTGAGTCCATTTAATACAAACCTAATGACATATATGAAGTTCCTCTTTATTATACTCAACTAATAGTCATCCAGGCTGTATTTGAGGGTCTCTAGTGATGCAGAACTCTACAACTGAAGGGAGTATGCCAACAGCAGGGCCATCCACAGCGTCAAAAACAGGTTGATCGAAGATCCACAGGGTACTACTGAGAAAGCACTCTCTTTTGGTTGTCCTGAGTCCATTAATTCTTTGAGTTAGGGTGTTGGACTACTATAAACTCATCTAACAATATCATTACCAAGCTCATGCTACTCCCTCTTATTCCCAAGTTTATCATCTACTCATTTGGTCTTTCAGCAGACATACATTATAAGCATTAGGATAAGCTTTAGGAATCAACAGTAGCTAGAATGTGGCCCATACTTTCCTCCAATTTACAGTCTAGAAAGGGAGACAGATGCAACCAATTAACATGCACATGGACTGAAGCAACAATATGCTGCCCCCCTACCTCCTGGGATTAGAGAAGACTTTACAAAAGAGGTTAAATTTGCATGTGGGTCTTGAAGGATAAATAAGGAGAAGAAATCTGAGGGCCTTGAAGAACTTCATGAGATACATGTTAATATCCAAGTATGTTAAAACAATAGTATTTTCCTTATCTGAAAATCCAACAAACCTATCAGAATATGAAATTTGTTTGTTTTTAAATAACCTGTTGGTAAACCCATTCTGAACCTCAGGAATCACCAAGTTGTTTCTCTTTGAAATACTCACAAACCATCCTTTCAGAGATTAATTTTACATGTTGATGTCAAACTCATTAACATATCATCTATGGAATCCATACTTTCCCATCACACACTTAATTTTCTAGCTCTGGCATTTATTCTGTACTTTGAAATTTCTCATACATTTACCAGATGCAGTTCATTTTTGCCATATTGTAGGACTTGGTTTGAAAACTGATTATTTACAATGATTATAGGAGTATATAGGTATGTCTTTGCTTTCATCCATCACCTATTGTTGGCTGTTAATATCGACTTATTTGATATCAGATTCTTATTATGAAGCCTTAGTCCCAATTATAACGTTATTCCTAAAAGAAAATCAGTCTGCCTCATAATGATCCACTTTAAGAAGCTGTTTTTAAATTTTAATGCTAATTGCAATGCTCTTAGGTGCAAGTAACAGAATATTCCTCTCAAACGCATTGACTGACATAAGCAAAAAGTCTAGAGGCACTGGCTTCAGGCATGACTTGGTCCAGCAACTCAAACGACATTACCGGAACCCAGTGTGTACCTCTTCCTTTCTTGGCTCTGCTTTCCTAGGTTTGTCTCCACTGTTAGTAGGCTTTTCTCTTGTAGCCCCCAGAGAGCTACCAATAGCACCAGGGCTACCATATCCACATTTAAGAGCGACAGGCAGAAGGACAGTCTACTGCAAGCAGAAGTCTTAGAATTGAGTCTCAGCCCTATTTGACATATGGGTTCCCAACCCTGACTCCATCACTGTGGTCAGAGAGTTGAGATATACTAACTGCCCTAAACCCATCAGGGCTCACCACTGGAACTCAGGAGGGATTACACAGGAGTGACTTGAAACTTTGGAGTACCGTTAAAATGGGGAAGATGGAAATGGATGCCTAGAAGGCAACCAACGAATGTCTGATTTAGAAATTTAGAAGAATAAGGAACCTTAGAAATCAACTCTCTAAATATTTTCTATAAAGTGGATTGCTTATTAATTTCTTCATTCATTCATTCAACAAATGCATATTAAGTCTTTGCCTTAGACCAGGCAGTGTGCTTTGAGCTGTGAGACCGCAAGGATGGATAAGACTCCATCTTGACTCAAAGAACAGTGATGCCGGGCCTCCCTGGTGGCGCAGTGGTTGAGAGTCCGCCTGCCGATGCAGGGGATACGGGTTCGTGCCCCGGTCTGGGAGGATCCCACATGCCGCGTAGCGGCTGGGCCCGTGAGCCGCGTAGCGGCTGGGCCTGTGAGCCGTGGCCGCTGAGCTTGCGCGTCCGGCAACGGGGGAGGCCGCGACAGTGAGAGGCCCACATATCGCAAAAAAAAAAAAAAAAAAAAAAAAAAAAAAGAGGAACCACGTGAACTGC